CCGAGACTGTAGCTCTTTACGGGAGTAGAAAGCCCCCTCTTTCTCCTGTGGAGTGGCAGTTAACAACCCAGCTCGTCACCAGCTCGCCACCCGAGCTCTTACGTATTACTAGCCTTTAATTATTAGAAGACGTAAGAGCAAGTGCAATCGACAGACAAGCTATGTTTCAGATGAAAAATGAAATCTGAAATTGTCAGGTTCCTATACAGGTTTAGCGTGGAAAAGCCGATAGAATATTTTTGTGAAAATGAGTGAAGTTAATGTTAAGTGCCACTGGAGTAGCCAATATGTGAGCCTCTGAAGCAGTGGTTCTCAACCTTCCTCACGCTGCGACCCTTTAATAGTGCCTCATGTTGTGCGGACCCAACTATAAAATTATTGTCATTGCTGCTTCATAACTGTAATTTTGTTACTGTTATGCATCATAACGTAAGTATCTGGTATGCAGGATGTATTAGGTGACCCCTGTGTAAAGGTAGTTTGACCCCAAAAGGGTTGCCATCCACGGGTTGAAACCACTGCTCTACAGGAAGCAAGTCGACCTCAAACTGGAGAGGCACGCCGGGCTCACGATAGTAGGACAGGCGGTAAAGATGGCACTGCTTCCCAGATTGGTCTGGGTTTCATGCAATTCCTGACCGATCCTAGCTGGGTGCTTTGCCGCTCTAGATGAACCATGAGCTGGGATGCATGTGGAAAGCAAAGGAAATAGATTGACCAAAGACTAGAATGAGAGGGACCACCCTGCCTGATTTTGAGACCCGCTACCAAGGGAGTGTGGGAGGAGGGCCACAGATGCGTATCCCCTGGGAGAGCCGGAGGCGGAGTCAGCGGGCGTAGCTGCCAGGTGCCTAGAGGGCAGCCTTGCGGGCAGGTGCTGAGGGGCTCGCAGGTTCATAGGCCAAGGCCTGAAGGGCCCAGTCTCTGCAGAGCCAACTCAAACGCATCATGGGCTCAGCCGACCGGGAAAGCCGCAGGAGAGAATGCCAGCGAGTCCTTCGTCATGCAGGATCAGGCTACGAGTTCCCAGACCTGGAGCCGAGCAGGTGACTCGGACTTCCTCAGAGTTAAACCTCCTTCGCTGTCTCCTTCTGGGATGTCGGCGTGGGGAGCTCCCTGAACCGCTTCCCAGAGAAGCAAGCATAACTGTCAGAAATGATCAAAAACAACAAAATCAGTCCTCTTGAGGAAATCTATTGAGTCTCAGCAAGAGCACTGAGAGGC